CAGACAACCTCTCGTCAATATGCGTTTTTCGCATTGCATTGCTGCAAAAAACGCATAAAAATATTGAATGAGCGTAGGGCAGGCAACGCAGTACCTTAGCACGTCTTGTTGGGATATGAAGACGAGTGGTTCAGTTTCCTCCCACCCCACACCCATTTGCAAAAAAGAGTTCCATTCGCAGGAGGTGGAGTGGTGCGTGACTTTGTTTAACACAGTCTGATGTATAAAGTGGTTCAAAGTTGCTATTAAGAAAAATTTCTCCTTTCTGATTCTTGTAGCTTCGATGACAAATTGGTGCTTGTTTACTTGCGGTACGGGGGTTATAGCTAGCTTGTGCTTTTGTTCCGTGGAACAAGAATCCAACGGCAGTGGGGCTTTCAAAAGAGAGTGAATGTGAAAAAATATTAATCTGGAGAGGTTAGGTTTGAAAAAGAATCATGGGCATTCAAAGGCAGTGGGAGTGCCAGTACTTCAATTAAAAGTTTATTGAATTTTCTTCCCAATTATATTTTGTGTTTTTATTTTGAGAGTGAGGTGCAGTTCTCCTTTCATGCTGCTTATGGCTAAAAACAGTTTTTTGACTCATCCGCAAGATCTCTTACAATTTTTAGGCGTACCTGGATTCCTTAAAAGAAGCCAACAAAGCGATTCATGAGAAAAAGTCAGGGTTGGGAAAAGCTGTATCTGCTAAAAAACCTTCTGGTGAAAGGAAAGAAAGTATATCCGACGCCAGTGAGTAAGCTTTTGTCGTAAATATTGAGATTTTCAAATTTCTACGAAATCATAGCGTCGATCTTCTGTTCATAAATTTTCAGCATTTTCTCTCATTGGAGGATCAAAACAAACTTTCCGAATCTGATTTTTAACATTCTGAAAGCTGTTGAAACGTTTATCCCGCGCTGCGAGATCCAGTTAATATCCCCGGTCGTTTCGCACGAAAATCATGAATTTGAGAGCGAGGTCAAAAAAAGCAGAAAGTCCAAAATATTAAACCTAAAGAAGCCTTGCTTTTTAAGCTTCGTTTCTGTAAACAATGCGATTTAACAATTTGCGTTTTTGCACCAGTATAAAACAGATCAATTTCTGAAAACATCGATTTTATTAAATCTTCACTGCCTATGAATTTGTGTATGTAGGCCTAGTAGAGTGTTGAACTTTTATCGAAGCAAGCAAAAAAAGAGGATTTTGCAAGCTTAGCTGTATTCCAAAATCTAGTAATATACTTAAAGGCTGAAAGTTCCTGAGCGGAAAAGCAGCCAGTGGGATGAGAAACCACATCGTCGAGCGTCCATATCGGAAGTTGTTTCCGATATATGGGAGCGTAAGCGAACACTTTCTAAAGGTTAATTTTAACTTCCAGGCTTTCCAGCAAATGATCGCGTATAGTTATGTCATTGCGACCACACGTGAAAGTTAATCCGATGGACAGGGGGTTTTTGCACCTTAATGGCAACCCCTGGACATTGCGCTTTAGGATGTCGTAACCGCGAGAAAAAAGTAAACAGCTGAAGCGATATCTGGAGCGGTGGCGCGCATACATAGGACAGACCGTAGGTAGTGCCTGAAGGCTTGCAACTCAGGATCGAAGGACCTGGCATAGTTGCGACCAATGTGTAAAAGCATACTAGCATGGAATATTCACGATGACTGCCTAGGGGATCCTGATATGTTTGGCAGTTCTAACTTCCAAATGGACTTCTTAGTCATCTTCCTAACACGCGCTGCTTCATGCATACCGTCTTTCTCCCTCACTGCTGTTCAAAGCCAACTGCCTGTTGCTGTAGCCGAATATTTATTTTCTCGTCGTTATGTAATTTCAACACTTTAAACGTGTACAAAATTGAGGGGACACAACGCTGAGCGAGATGAACATCCGAGAAGCAGACGAGCTGCCCGTTATCTCTTCCGAATCCGACGAGCACTTCACTTCTGATACGTAAAGCTTTACAGACTTGCTCAGAATTTCAGAAGTAGCTATTATTTTTGAAATGGATTCTGAGCGTTCATTTGAAAATTCTAGAGAATTATTGCAGAACCGAGCGTCGAGATAAGGATAAGCCGGAAGTTTTGGTACCAACCAGCAGCAAAAGTACGTTATGGATAATTACGGAGTTTTCTGCACAAATAAAAACTGTTTGGGCATCTTTAACGAATTTAATAAAGTTGCTCAAATTTTCGTCTATTTCTTAACATCTTTAGTCTAAAAAGATTGCACGCAAAAGTATCAGAGATTTATGATTTGAAACCCTCAAAAACCAAAAAAAGAATTTAAAAATATGCGAAAAGCCGGTGTTAAACAACCGATATCAGCAATCTTGCGTTGTTTGGGCAGCCCCCACCAGCAATATTTGTCACTAAACAGGGTTGCATGCGCATCCAGTTTCGAACTATTGGCTACAACTTGCTCTGAAAGCCTTCTGCGATTATATGCGTTAAAAACTAAAATCTAAGATAAATGTTGCGCGGACGACGAGGAATGACGTTGACGACGAGGCTGGTACGACGAGTTTCAGACGAGAGCTGGACGAATGCTGTTGTGCTGTGGTGTGTAACGGATAGAGACTGGGGTAAACCAATAAACTTTATCAACACGAACACAAGTTTACAAGGGCTTTGTTGGGGCGACGGGATTAAATTGGGCGCTTGCAGCGACAACCGCTGCAGACAAGGTGTTAATAACTGGATTGCAGCACCACACTGCTGCACTGGACCTCTGGACGCCAAACCACGGGATACGCTGAACGCCAGCGATTCGAATACTGAAGACTCGAGACGATAACGTTGAACACTGGGGGGATACGCGACGATACACGGAAGACGCAGTCGATGACGATACTGAACATACACTGAATCTTACAACAATTTTATACGCTTAAATGCTCATCACAAAGGGCGGGACAGATCACGGGTCAAACTGCTGCACGCTTCTGGATTGCTCCTTGCTTCTCCTGCGCGCCATTTGCTCGCTTTGCATAAAACAAGTAGAAAAGTATTAAAATGAAAAGGAGAATAGAAGAGGGAAATCTGAAATTTCGAAGCTAAATTTTTTGTATTTTCATGCGTCATTAGGTTGCTGTAAAATGCAGCTGATTTTTGAATATTTTAGCGCACTTATTCATACGCATAAACAACATCTTACTGCAAAACGTATAATCCTCGTCGCGGTGCGCATTATTGTTTGTATATAGTAGAGAGTGAAAGGACTCGACACGAGCCATGAGGCAATGTTGCTCACTTTTCGCAGTTATATTATTTGCACCTTTTAATTCTGCGATAAATAACGATATAGAAAATTAATTATGAGTGATCACTTTTCCACTGTAGTAAATACGCTATCGTTGATTGGATTTTTTACGATCAAATTATAATAATTATATTTCTCTAGCTGAACAACAACAGCAACGTCGAAAGCCCTCGTATTCAGATGGTTCATCGCTTATTCCGTACGCAAAGGATGCACAAAAAGCTGCAAGGAAAAAGTCTGTTGCTGAAACATCAGCAGCAACAGTAGACGAACTTGCAACCAGTCATCCGGCCCCCGGTACTATTGGACGCAAATCAACAACTGGCCTAAGTTTGCAGCACAGTCGAGCCATCCAAAAATCTATTGAGAAATCCATCTTTGGTGCATCACCTCGTCAGAACGTATGTCACTGAACTGCTGTATTACTTTTCTATTTCTTTACTTTCAGGGATTTTTCAAATTAGCAGCTGAGTTATAGATGCATGAAATCGTTAGAAATTCCAAAACGTTTCGGAGAAAAGGGCTTTTCGCTGGAGTTATGCAGAAGTGGGGACGGAGTAGGAAACTAAAGAAGAAAACCAGACAAAGGAAATGCGTGAGGATGCTTTCTGGATTGTTTAGAAATTCAGGCAGAAAATAACCAGTTGATGACTTAGATAAATTTTAAAAATCAAAATGCAGCTTATGAATGCACCGAAACTGTGCCCAAAAACTTTTATGTAACGTCAGTTCAGGTGATTAGCGACACGCAAAAACGAACGAAAAGTCGAAGCGATTCGCGGAAATTGAGCACTCAGTCTACCGCATCATCTGCCGCAAAGGATTTAGAGCATCTCCGCATGGTAAGCAATTATAGTTATTATTCTAATTTTTCTTATTATCATTGTAATTATTACTTATTATTATTGTTACTATTATTACTGTTATTACTATCATTATTACCGTTATTATAATTGTTATTATTGTTAAATGAAAATTTTTAATCCATTTATTTTTTATGTGTTTTGCAAGAAGCAGCAAAAATGCATCACCCACACACTGGCAGCACGCAGTGCGGCATCCCGTACGTCTTTCTTTTACTAGATCGCATATTATCGCTGGCGAGAAAAGAGGAACTCTTACTGGCAATAGCTTATCACAAAATGTATAATCATGCCTTCCTTCTGGTGCGTGTTGTTATTTATTTCGACCAGAACTTGATAATCTTTTCAAATTTTTCTTTTGACGAAACTCCCCTATTTTGAATCTTAATGCTCTGTCTGCGTAAACAGCTTAAGGGTAAAACGTAAATAGATATTCTTGCATTTATTATACTGTCACGTTCTGGCTACACAATGTATTTTTCCAATTCTTCCCTTCCTTTACTGTTTCGATTTAACAATTCTAGCTCAATATGCCTATCACAAGCGAGATTTTTTCAAAATCGGCAACAGTCACTTTGTTACCACTTGGCCACTAGTTTACTCAACATTTAGCAACAGTATACAGAGCCTCATACCACTATCAGAGGTTGCCAGAAAAGTAAATCTTAACGTCCGACAAGTTTTTCATTACAGTTGGACAGCAGTCAGAACGAACAAGAACAAAAAAGCTTGCTTAAGCGGTCGCTGTTCCGGAAAACAACTGGTGTATTGAGTGGCTCATCTACTCCCAGCGCACTGAATTCTGCCGAATCCGTGACTGAAGATATAGTGGAGGTGGCAGTACCGAAAGGCGCGGCGAGCAGCTACAGCTTCGACAGTTTTGAAGGATCGTCTTCTACTAGAACAGTTGTCTCTTCGCCTTCGGAAAGGCCAGAGCATGCGCGAAATATTTCGGATTTGAGCAACCGGAAGACCGAAATAAAGAAAGGCCCAGAATCCACAGCTGCATCTGTGTCCGGTTCTAGAAGTAGCAGGGGTAGTAGTTTGGGAAGTAGTTTTCCTGCTCCAGTCGTTAAACAGCCAGCAAATTTAGCGGTATCTGGTATGAAGGGAAAGGTTGTCAGAAAAAGTGAATCTGAAAGTGCTACAAGTTCGAGTAGCACCAGCAGTAACATCAGCAGTGAAACGTCGACTTTAAACAGCAAAAAATCTAAAACTTCGTACGAACTAGAAATATGTGATTCAAGATCTTCAAAAGTCAAAAGAAAACATTCCACCGCTCGGAGGAGCGCAGAAATGACGCAGAAACTGAAAAGCTATGAAAAAAATAATAGGAAAAGTAGCAGAGATCATAAAAGTGGAGCTAGAAAATCGCAGAGACCTTTAAAACCACAACAGCTAGGAGATCATACGGAACTAAGAATTGGCAGCAGTCCTAGACCGCGTAGTCGACGTTCTTCACAAAAATCAAGTCATCATTCTTACGAAATGAGCAGAAGTAGCAGATCTGTTTCCGACCTGAGCAGTCTTGCGAGTTCCGAAGTGAGCGCTATGAGTCTAGTGGAAGAGCCAGATTCGACAAGAACTCAGGATATGACGCGAAAGAGCCATTTAGTATACGAAAATCTGTTGACAGATTTTGAACGAGTTTTCGGAAAATTCATCGAGAATTCGCGAAAAACCAGGCAAGATATAAAAGAAACAAGCAATGCTGCTGCACAGACGGTGGCTGTAAGAAAAGACAGCGAACTGCCGCCAACTTTCACCCCTCTTTTGCTGAGAGATATTGAGGGTTAGGCTTCATCGAATTTTGAAAATTAATTGTCTTAAAGGTGTCATAAAACTTTGATACGCTAGAAAACAATGGCTTTTCGAAAGTGGGTAACGGGGCAAATGTCAGTTGAGGCGGTACACTAGGTTGTTATGGAGACTTTATGCCAAGATTATCAAAATCACCCGGAAAGTCAGTTGGATATCTAGTAATGCTACTGGAATGCTCCAACAGTTCACGCCCAGATGCGCCGAGCCCTTCGGTCCTAAGCTGTATACTTCCAGTTATTACCCAGCTCCTGTCTGATGTATGTGTGTTATCTCGTCTGGGCTACCCGGGTAGTTATTTAGTTTCTAACTAACATAGCTTTTCTGTTTCAAGAAGGCTAAATTCGTAATGTGCATTGCTTAAATATGCTACAGTGTCTTGCCTTGCATTGTCCAAGCTAGAGCTATTTATCCGGGATCAGGTACTTTGAATTTTCTTCTACTACTATTTCTACTAATAATTATTATTATTACTATTATTAGCATTACTGTTATTATCTCTAGCATTGTCATTATTATTATTGTAAAAAACAGCAAGTATTTAGAATTATATTTTCAAAACGCATCAGAGGGAAATCGCAAACACGTGCATACGATACAACAGCCGCCGTGGTTAGCTGGAAAATAAAAGAAAAAAAAACTTTTGCTAATTGTATCCCCCAATCTACCCGGTTTCGCTCTATCTCAGAGCTTATGTCTAAATTTATGCTTATAGCCAAACAGAACAAATTCATCGCAACTGTTCATGGCTCTACAGTTAAAGACAGAGTGCTTGTTCGAATAATTTGTAATTAAGTTGAAAATAGTGTTCTGGATTCCCATATATTTAATATTTCTCTTGCCAGTCACTACGATTAACAGAATCGCTCGGCTTTCACCATTGGTGTCTTTTACTAGTGATTTTACTGGAATGCTGTCATACGTCAAGATTTACAACTGTTCTGTATATTTGCGATTACTGCTCAACTTATATGTGTTACCTCTTCGTAGTCCGACTATTTGACCGTTTGCTTTTCACGATACCACTCACTGATACACAATGTTCACCAGGTGTGAAAAGTCGAGCAATATTCCCTACTCGTCGGATCTTACCTCCTCGTGTTGTTGCAGTTATACAATTAATTGCAGAAAATATGAAAACAATGAACGAAAAAGAAGCATACTCGTTGATCATACATACACACGTGGATCTTATCAAGAAGCAGGCTGAGCGTGAAAAACGTGCTTTGGAAGAATGGGATTCTGCTGTCAGAGATTTGGAAGAACGCTGCAAAGTGGTTACATTTGATCGGCTAAAGAAAGTCCTTCATTCAAATGATTATTTTGATATTATGTAAAGTACCTGCAGTATCTTCCCATCTCAAATCAACTCTTTCACCATTCGACCGTAAGAAAAGGCTTATTTCTCTATTTTGGCTATTGACAGGTTTGATCTGCACCAAAAAAATTTATCCTTGGCAACAAAAACAAAATCAACAAATCAACTCTGTGCCTAAAACCTCCATACTTTGCGCTAAACACATACCCCATGCAGCACATTTTTAAAGGAGTATTTTAATCGCATTTGACTTTTTAGCTCCTTTTATTCCAGATAAAATAGCGCTTCTGGGATCAAAACAGGTAGGCATCCCTTCCCATTTTCTCTTCTTCCCCCTCTCCCTTCGCTTCCCTCCTTCCTCTCTCTCTCTCTCCCACTGCTTCCCTTGCCCATTCCTTTTTTATGCGTTTTGTGCTGTGTAACAGCAGTACAAAACGCATATTGTCATGGGGCTGTCTGTGTG